CGGAGCAGATGTCTCCGCTTTGGACCTTGAACACAGCTTCTGGGAGGGAACCCGGGTGGCCCCCCTCACACAGCTGGGCCTCCGTGTTTCCCGCTGCCAAGCGGACAGCGAGAGAGCAAAGCACAGGCTGCTGACGGTGGTGCGTCCGAACGGGGCCGCCCAAAAGTGTCTTTCTGGCGACGCCCAGCAGGCTGCCCGGCCCACCCCCTGGATCGATGGCGGTGCTGTTAGTGCTGCATCTAAAGTGCAGAGGCAAAATAGGGAGGGTTGGAGGACTGGGGACAGTCACCAAGCTGAGACCTTTCTGAGGCACTAATGTCGACTCAGGCCAGGCTGCCTCCCCCCCACCACATTCACCACCGTGACCATGATGCCTGGCAGGAGCCGCTGTCCCGTGAACAGTAAATGTGGGGCTGCGAGTTCTGTCTGTCCCCTGGTCTGTGTTGGCTTCCCACCCGGGCTCTGTGGGGCCAAGGGACAGGAGACCCCTTGCTGAAAGGCGTCGGGCCGGCTCGGTGCCGTGTGCCGCAGAGTCCCTGGGGCAGCCGCCGGTGCAGACCAGGGGAGCCTTCCTGGAAACCGAGTCACCGAGTCCAGCTTTTCATGGAGTTGTTCTTCGGGCCACCATGGGTAAGAGTGTGGGCCCTGACGCCACTCCTGGCCCCTGTCCTGGCTCGGGCCCTTGCCAGCTGCGGGACTCAGCCAGGTGACCTGACTTCTCAACCTCGATCCCCTCTTACGTGGAAGGGAGGCAGCAGCAGAGCCGTGGGGGACGCGGCGTCCACACACCGGAGGGGCTGGGTCATCGCCCCGTGTCCCTGGGAGACCAGGGGGGCAGCTGGAGCCCCGGGAGAGGGCCCGGGAGGTCTACTGAGCCAGTGGGAGCCACCGTGCTCAGAGGGCACGCAGAGTCCTAGGAAGTCCCAATATGGAGCCGAGGGGACCCTGCAGGGAAGGGACACTTCCGCAGGGGCCTGAGCTGGAGCAGAAATGGCCATCAGGATGTGGAGACCCTGCCCACTCCTCTGTCCCTGCCCTGCTCGGTGTCCCCAGAGGCTGGCCCGAGTGAACCTTGCCACAGCCTCTGGGAGGCAGGAGGGAGCGGGTGAGCCAGGAGCCGACCCCCGTCCCCAAGGCAGTGTCCGGCCCTGGGCCCTCTCTGCCTGGCGGTCATGGCTGCAGGCCCCTCACTTTGTGAGTAGTTCCTTCCTTTTTTTTTTCAAGTTATAAGAGAAGCTGTATTTAGACAGTTACGGGGAAGTGGAAGTGAGCTGTAGAGCCAGCGGACTCGGGAAACAAGTCACAGAACAGAAGCAGGGCCCTGGGAGCCTAGGAGAGGGAGAGGCCGGGGGTCTGAGCTGGGGGGGGGGCGGGGTGCATGCTCCCCAGACGGGAAGCAGCCAACAGCCCCTTCCCTGAAGCCCCCCGAGGTGGCCTGGGTTTAGAGCCTGCTGGCGACCTGAGCAGGACAGCCAGGGAGGGGACCGGTGACGCCCAGAGCTGCAGGGAGGGAAAGTACAAAGGCCTGGATGGTGTCCCTGGGCTGAGCAGGAGGACAGGGTGTTCCAGGCGGTTCCAGGAGTGGGGCACAGAGGCGGGGACGGGAGGGGGGACCACACTTGGAGTCCCCGGGATCTGGAATTGAGCCCTGATACAGGCTCACACGGGCAGTGGCTTGCCCCTGCCTGCCCGGGGCCAGCACGCAGAAAGAATACCGAAAGGCTAACTGCTTTCCAAGTGTTCATCTTGTCCTCTGGCACATTTTAAGTTGGTAAATTGGAAGGTAAATTATCCCTTAAGAAAGTTGTTCAGAGAGTTAAGTAAAGCAAAACTAAAATACCTTCACACAAAGAAAACCCCAAGCCCAGTGGCTTTACTGGTGAAGCGCACCAAACCTGCAAGCAAGAAGCGAAGCCCAGACAACACAGACCCGTCACGATTCAGGGCATTGGGAACACTCCCCGACTTGGTCCCGGGGGTACCGCTGGCCTGGTGCCACAGCAGGCGAGGGAAAGAGGCGGCCCCGCACCCTCATGAACACAGGCAGCTGTTCAGCCCGCCAAGTCCAGCAGTACACAGAGGTGAGAGTGCCTCCCGGCAAAGTCTGGTTTGTTCCAGAGCACGAGGTCTGTCTGGAAAAAGTCCACCATTGTTAGTATAATGAGAACGGTGTGCGTGACATCCGTGTAACCTGGCAGCGGAGGAGGGTGGGCTGGAATGCGCGTGTGTGAACAGTGACGACTTCGCTGCACTAGTCAGTGGGGGGCGGTAGACACTGCTGAGTGGGCACGTGTGCTGTGTGGCCCGTCCCAGTCAAAACGAAGGAGCGAGCAGAGCAATGCATCTATCAGATTTTGTGTTAAGCTTTAACAGTCCTCAGCGGAAACTGTTCGGCTGGTTCAGCAGCCGCAGCTGTGGGCAGCAGGTGACCGGCAGCTTCATCACAACAACACGCCCGCTCACACATCCCTTCTTGTGCCGAGTTTTTTTGGTAGAACATCAAATCACCCAGGCGACTCAGCCCCCCTACAGCCCAGATTCAGTGCCCTGTGACTTCTGGCTTTTTCCAAAATGAAAATCCCCTTTGAAAGGGAAGAGATTTCAGACCGTCGTTGAGATTCAGGAAGACAGGACGGGGCAGCTGATGGCGCTGGGAGAACTGTGTGAGGTCCCGAGGTGTCTACTTTGGAGGGGACTGAGGCGTCCTTACCCTGTGTACAGAGTTTCTTGTATCTTCTTCAACGAAAGTGTCTGGTTTTCACATTGTGTGGCTGGCGCCTCCTGGGCGGCCCTTGTACACTGTTCGCTTCGAGTCCCTAAAACCAATGTGAACACCATATTTCCAGCCAAAAAGGAAAACCCATATCATAATCTCAAAAGCTACAGAAAAAAGATGTGATAAAACCCAACACACAGTCGTGATTGAGAAACAAACAACTTTACCGAAGTGGGAATGATGGGAACTCGGACCCGAAGAAGGGAACTCGGTGGAAAAAACCCGCAGCCCCCGAAGTGGGGCCACGGCGCGGACGCCCGCTCCTGCCACCCCTCATCCCACCCCCCACTTTTGCTCTGAAACTGTTGCCCACCGCCACCGGGAGGTCGCAGGGTTGCTTCCCCCGCTCACTCCCCGGCCATCCTGCAGGGGGCGCCAGGCAGTGCGACGGGGCCAGAAAGAGGAAAGTCCCCCGGATTCCAAAACAGTCCAACTGTCTTCATTTGCTAATGACAGGACTGGCTGGGTAGAAAGCCTACGAAACCCTCAGAAAATAACCCCTAGAACTAACAGCTGAGTTTGGCCGAGCTGCGGACACACCGTGCGCACAGAGAGGTTCATTGTATTTCTGTGTAGCTGCCGTGAACAGCTGGAAATGGAACATGTTGAAAACAATTTCATCTACAATAGCAGCAAAGAAACATGAAATAGATATGAGCCTAACAGAGTATGTGCACGATCCGTGTGCTGAAACTGCGAACCACAGATGAGAGAAATAAAAAAGGTCCAAATGAGCGGAACACGGTAACCGGTCCTCGTGGACGGGAAGTCTGTTTTGAGAAGGAAATGAGGTGGAAGGACTTACGCTGTCTGACTTCTAGACGTAGCACGAGGTGTCCACACAGACGAATATACACACCGAGTGAGCAGGGAGCCGGGGACAGACCCCCAAGTGACCGGGCCCGGGTGAGTGGGCGGGGCAAAGGCGGCCTTCGAGCAGGGCTTGGGCCAACTCCGTTCCGTGTGACAGCAAACGGTGGAAACTCGCGTCCCCCGACACCCACAAAGGTGACTCAGAGTGGAGCACAGATCGACATGTAGGAGCTAAAACTACAAAACCAGAAGGACATGTGGGCTTTGTGGCCTGGGGTGAGGCAAGGCATCCCTTCGTGCCACAGGGTCTGGGGCTGGGGCTCGGGAGGACATCATGCCCACTCCAGACAGCGTGACGTCGTGGTCCAGGCACTGGGCATTCGTAAAACTCTCAGGTGACTGTCATGTGCAGACCAGGTGGAGAGCCACTGAGTTAGTGGCCTGGGGACATCCTGACTCTGGGATGCCACATGACAGCAGCAAAACAGGACCCCAACTACTCATTTAACCCGGAAGCCAGGTCGACCCGGACCACAGACCAGCTGCACCAGGGGCAGCCTCGGGACCTGGGGTCCCTTCCTCAGCTCCACCCCCGCCGGCATCCTCCCCGGGATTTCCCACGGGGCGAGGTCTGGGGCACCATCTGGGGCACTGGCGTCTGCAGCTCCAGGCTGTCTGCTCCCTGCAGCGATGCCTCCGTGGGTCTGCAGCTGGTGCTCGCTGGCTGGCTCGGATCCCAGCCCCTCCTGACACCAGCGTGCAGCCAAGAGGCCTGCAGGGCTCCAGCCCGCCTGACCCGGGTCAGACCAGGGGGACCCCAGGGCCCTCAGGACCACACCTTGGGAGGTGGGCAGAACAGCCTGTGTGCCCTGGGCGTCTGGCCCCTGCCCTGGTGGGGGTGAGACCTAGGGACAATGACCCACGTTGGGGCAGGACGAGCACCGATGGGCCCCACCGCCTTTGCTGCATGTGGGGCCCGGCTCCTCAGGGGCGTCAGACCTGGGTGTGCTACCTCACGTTTGGGGACCCCACCCCGGATGGCACCCTGCAGCCTCACCGACCACAGCCCCTCCGTGAACTGAGGTAGGTCAGGAGCTTGGAGCGGGGCTGACTGGCCAGTGAGCAGCCGTCCCAGTGGCATCCAGCCCGCTGGCCCCATGTGCTCGGCGGGAGCCCACGGCCTCGCCACCCCACGGTCCTCCCCTCCCCTCTGCTTCTTGCCTTGGGCTGCCCCAGGGTGGCCGGTTGTTTACGATCCTGCTCTGTCTGGTGGGGAGTCAACCAGGCCGCCTCCTTGGGTGGCTGCCAACACCATCACCCGCCACCAGAGCTGAGAGTGGGGGAGGGAGTGTGCAGGGCTGGTGGGTGGCCAGCCCAAGGAGAAACCTGTCACGTGGTTGCTGGTAATCGAAACTAGCCTGTTTCCTGGTGTCCTGGGCTGGGCCACCTCCGGGCTTTCTGAGTTGGAGGGCAGTCGGCGGAGAGCCTGCAACAGGAAGGTGGGCCTGCACCACAGCCCGCACGGCCCGCAGGTGAGCTGTGCCTCTCGCTCCCGGGACGCTCTTCTTCTCCCTTCACAGTGTCACCCGATGGGGGCCAAGCCCATGGGGTCTCTGCACGGCACCTGAGTGCTGTACCAGCACTTGGGGTACCCAGCCCACGCCCAGCCCACGCCCATCCCCCGGACTTGTGCAGCAGGCTGTGCCGCCCAGCGGACCAGCCCTTTTTTCTGACCTGCACAGAGGTGCCCTGGGGGCCAGGAGCAGGCAGCCCTGGGGGCTGGGAGGGACCGCTGGCCTCGCCACCCCAAGGCACCGACGTTTGCGCACTGTGTGCCGGTGCGTGGCTGGCCATTTGTCCAGGGCCCCGTGTGCCTGTCCCGGGGGATGGACCTGGTGGTTGCAGCCGCCTGGGGGAGTGCAGAGGGTGTCAGACGGTCTGGTCTACCCGGGGCTGAGAGAGCGGGTCCCAGAGCATGGTGCCTGCAGCACTAATGCCAGGACAGGCCCCAGCATGCCAGACAGCTGGCCGCCCTAGCCCCTGCCGTCACCAGCCGTGTGACAGGAGCCGGTGACTGAGATCCAGCCCCTGCGCCTGTACGGTGGGCTTCACCAGGCAGCTCCCAAAGGTCAGGGGAAGGACTCCATGAGCCTCTCCAGTGTGAGCAGTCCTGGCCCAGGGACCCCCACGAACACCCGTGAACCATGCCAGGGGGTCAGGGGGCTGCCTCAGGGCCACCCACAAGAGCAGCCTGGTTTGCTGTTTGCTGGGCCTGAGAAAGTTGTCCCTGGTCACAGGATTCCTACTAAAACCAGAGGACCGGTGAATGGCCCCTCCCAGGGAGGGGCTCGGGAGGGCCGGGGGCAGGGCAGGAGCAGGCTGGGGCAGAGAGGGAGCCCTGTCCCCTTCCCCCACCCCGGCTGACCCAGTGGTCTCGGTAGCCCACAGCCCCTTCCAACATCTGTCTCTTGAGGACTCTGACCTTGGCAGTGTCTGTGCTGGGCCCACCCTGAGCTGGTGGGCTGGTCCTCACCATCTGCTACCCCCCCCCCCCCCCCCCCGTCCCCTGGTCTGGTCCGTGGCCTCCTCCCTGCTCTGGCTCCCCTCCCTTCTTTATCAGCACTGAGCTCCTGCCGGGCTTTCCCTGAAGACAGAGCCCTGGCCGCCCAGCTGCCCCAACCCTGGGCCGTGCCCAGGGCCTGGTCTTCTGAGGTGGGCTCCTGTGTCCTCTGTCCTTGCAGCCTGGGGACACTCCCGCCCACCCCCTTCATCTGGGCACTCACCCCCCTCACGCACCCTCAACTGCCCGCCGCTGTCTCCCCGTCCACAGCCGCACGAGCACTGAAGGGGACCCGGCCTGTCTGCGGGCCGTCCAGCTCCGCCACCTCCCTCTCCGCCGTCTCCTGCTGCGGTGAGAGGTCCTCCCAGGCCAGGCCATGGCCCTCCCTCGGCTCTTCTGGATGTGGCTGCTGGTCGCAGGGACTCAAGGTGAGCTGAGCCCCCCGAGGTCTTTCTGCCCTCCTTGCAGATGGAGGCAGCATTCTGCCCGGCACAGGTCCCTGGGGTCAGCTCCGGCTCCCTCCCCTGCTTGACCTCTCAGGTGTCCCAGGTCACGTGGCTTTACCTTCTGGGGGCCGCCAAGGAAACCCTGGGGGACTTGAGGTCGGTGCCCTGGGCGCCTGTCCACCTGCTCTTCACCCCTGAGGCCCCGGGGCCTTGCTCCTCCTGGGGGACCCTCGGAGGCCTGCTGCCCCCGCTGCGAATCGCCCTCTGACCTGTGGGCCCCGGCGGGGCAGTCAGGGGAGCGGCAGGCAGAGTCCTGGAAGTGCCTGGCGAGGCTGGGACCAACTTTCTCTCTGCACCGTGCGTATCCTCATTGGGTTTCTGGGGACCCTGTGCCCCCAGCACCCCCATGCCTCTCCAGTAGCCCTTGCCTGGTGTACGGCCACCCCCAGGCTGACCTTTGTGCTCCTCGGGGGCCCTGCAGGTGTGAACGATGGTGACATGCGGCTGGCCGATGGGAACACCACCAACCAGGGCCGAGTGGAGATCTTCTACCAAGGCCAGTGGGGGACTGTGTGTGACAACCTGTGGGACCTGCTGGATGCCAGCGTCGTCTGCCGAGCCCTGGGATTTGAGAACGCCACCGAGGCCCTGGGCCAAGCCGCCTTTGGGCCAGGTAGGCCCGCTGGCCCCCATTTTTCCCAAGCAGCTGGTCCCATGGGGGGACCACCCCCTGGGCCATAAGAAGGGTCCCCTCGCCCTCCACACTGGCAGACATCCTGAGCCACACGAAGCCCGGTGCTGGGAAGGGGCTGCGGCCCAGCTCACACGCCCCCGCCTGTAGCTGGAACCAGGCGCCTGGGCGCATCACTGCGGGGAGCAGCTCCAGCCCCTCCCCACAGCCCAGAAGCCCCACGCTGGGCCTTTACCTTCCTGAAGCCACTCACCCCTGGAAGGGAAATCTGTGGGTGGGAAGGCAGCCGGGGGCACGGAGGCCGTGAGTCTCAAAGAAGGGATAATTAAGATTGGGGGTAACTTACTGTCCGTGAGGCAGGCAGACTTCATCAGAAGACACTGCACCAGCTCATGGTGCAGTGTCACGGTAGTGGCACCACTTGGGTTGTCACGGGTCTTTCCTCATCGAAGACCAGTGGGACACAGCAGAGCTGTGCCTGGGGTCTTGGGCCCGAGGGCCATCCGTGCCTGCACGGTGCCTGTCTGCCAGGCTCCTCCGGGCAGCGGCGTGGTCTCGGGGCCGCCCTCCAGTGTCTGTCCTTCCTGTCCCCCCAGGAACTGGCCCTGTCATGCTGGACGAAGTGCAGTGCACGGGGACAGAGTCCTCGCTGGCCGACTGCTCATCCCTGGGCTGGCTGACGAGCAAGTGCGGGCACAGCCAGGACGCTGGCGTCATCTGCAGCAACGGTGCGCAGGGCTCGCCTCACCCTGGGCCCCAAAGCGCGGGGACCCTGGAGGGTGTCACGCCGCTCCCCACCCCTCCAGGGAGCCCTCTGGGCCCATCGCACACCTGCACACAGGCCTGCAGGAGAGGGTGGAAGGCCCGCAGGGCCCAGCCTCACAGGCCTTCCCAGGACCCGCTCAGAGACGCTCCATGCGCCCCAACCGTCGGGCGGTGAGCAGCGTCCACAGATTTCAGGCGTCTCTCTCACACCGCCGTCTGAAGCCTGTGGTTATGCAGCGCATCTCCCGCCGATGGCACGCTGCATGTGCTGGGGCGTGTCTTCCTGGGGGAGAGGCCTGGTGGCAGGCAGCCCAGCCCCCGCCTGCCTTCGCTCCCTCAGACCTGCGGGGGGCCCAGCCCTGAGTCTGAATGTTAGGGCTGGTCTTTGCTCTCTCACGCCCACCGGGGGCTTCTTCGTGGACGTGCACAGGGGACCTGGGAGGCATGTGCACCCCTGAGGCAAGGGCTGGGGGTGGGGGCCCCCCAGGGGAAGTCAGGATGTCCAGGTCCAGGGGAGTGGAGGCTCGTGCTGGGGAGGGTGCGGAGGGGCGCCTGGGCTGGGTGGGGTGCAGGGCAGGAAGCAGCTGCGGCAGGGCCCCAAGGAGGCCTGAGAGTCAGGTGGGGTGAGGAGGAAGGGGGCGCTGGGCCCACCTTGCTTGAAGGTCAGGACTGGTCTAAACCTGTGTGGGCAGAGATGGAGCAGAGGGTATAGTTCCCAGGAGGCTTTGGGAGGGGGGCGGCTCTTCCCCTCAAACTGCCTTGGCCCCTCGAGGAGCCTGCTGAGGGCCCGCAGTCCTGGCCTTGGGTCTCTGTATGATGCTCCGTCTCAGACCCTCACTCTGGGAGAAGGTGTGGCTTCAGAAGGTCACATCTGAAGAGCGATCGATGGATTGGCTGGGATTTTAAAGGCCTGGGGCCTTGGCCCCTGGAAGTCAGCACCTTCAAATCCCCCACCTGGAGGGCCTGCCCGAATTTGGGGTGATACAGATGAGTTAACCTGGGGTGTTTGACGGGTTGGTTGGGGTACCCCGGGTCAAGTAGGGCCAGGTCATCCTGTCTCCTGGGGCAGGCTTTCTGAGTAGATAAGGCAGGTCAGGCCATAATTTAAGGGAAGAAACTGACTCCAGGGAGGAAAAGTACTTCCGGGTCACAGAGCAAGCAAGCATGAGACATGCCCGCCGCATGTCCCCGAGCTTTGCCCTGAGCGTGGTGCCTTCCCTCTGCCCCTTCTTAGAAACCAGAGACGTCCACACTCTCGACCTGTCCAGCGAGCTGCCCGCAGCTCTCGAGGGGATCTTTGACAGCCAGAGCGGCTGCGACCTGTCCATCATAGTGAAGGCCCAGGACGTCGACCAGCTACGCATGTGTGCCCACAGGCTGATCCTGGCCAGCAACCCCGAGGCCCAGGGCTTGTGGAAGGAGCCAGGCAGCCTGGTCACCATGGAGGTGGACACCGAGTGTCTGCCCGTCGTCAGAGACTTTGTCAGGTGAGCACCCTCGGGGCCGAGACTCGGCACTGGGCAGTGTCCCCAGGGCTCCGGGCCAGACAGCCCTGCTTTCCAGTGTCCACTCTGTCACCATGAGGGGGTCTCCTGGGGGATGTGCTTTGAAATCATGGATTTAACAAAGGTGCATGTATTAAAAACTGTTTTTCCTCCTCCTTATCACTTACCTGGCTTTGCACGGCTGAAAGGGACCCAGGAGGAGATGATGGTGATTGAAACAGATCAGAATGGTTTCTTTCCAGCTGAGCGTACAAGCCTGGTCGCTAGGCTGTGCCGTCGCATCGTGATTTATTTCTAGGACCATCTGAGAATGAGGCAGGGACCCAGCCAGCCCTCGGGCCCAGGGTGTCTGCCCTTCCGCAAAGCTCAGGGGGACGCTCACGCTCTCTCTCTCTCCTTCCTTCCGCCAAGGCAGAGAGGCTGTGGTGAGCAGGGCGTCCTGTCTGGGCCCCAGAGGGCCTGGGGAGGCCCCTCCCCACCGGGGCCAGCCCGCAGACACCCCCTCCCCTCTCTCTGCCCCACAGCCACGCTCAGCACCGCCATCAGTCCCTCAGCTGGTGGCCTGGCTCTCTGCCAGTTTCTGCGGTTCCTCAGGGTCACTGACACCCCCATCCCAGCCTTAGGTCCTTTTTTTCTGCCTTTCATGGTGTTTTTCAGGGTCAAGGGACAGTTGGGACCCCTACTCCCACCCCTTGGGTGCCTGCCGGAGGCTGCAGAGCAGGCAGGAGCCCTGGGGATGGGGGACCAGCTGGGGTGGCTGCGCCGCTGCCAGCAGCCTCTCGGGCCCCAAGTGAGAATTAAGAAGCAGTGACAAAAACATTCTGCAGTGTCCCCCTGTCCCTTTGTCAACCGCCCTTTGCAGGGCCCTCAGTGGGGCATATTGCTGATGAAAGTGGTGGTCAGTGCCCAGAAGTCTTGGGCCCCAAGCCACTGTCCTGGAACCAGACTGTGGCCCTGCAGGCTGCGGTCAGGGGCTACTGTGCGGGTGGCAAGGGCCGAGGGCAGGCGCGGCAGGGCCTCGCGGTGTGCGGGGGGAACAGTGAAGGCTGGGAGGGGCAGGGCCTGCCTCTGGCGTTGGCACTGGGCCCTGGGCGGTGCTGTGGATGGAGAGGTGTCCGTGGGCTCCCAGCATTGGGCTGACGGAGTCTGTCAGGGGTGTGACGGACAGGACAACCCCAGTGCCCTGCGGCGGTCACATCCCCGGTGAGCACGACAGCAGCGACGCCAGTGGCGATGCAGCGGGTGGAGACCAGGAGGCGGGGGCCCCTCAACAGGTGAAGTGTCAGCCTCCAGGGCCCTGGGACCCACCTCCTTGTTGGTGCCCACGACGCTAAGCAAACTCAAGATCAGAATGTGCGTTGGCTCAGGAAGTAAATTGAGCGGAGGATGAGGACCGAATGCCTCTTGAAATTGCCAGCACCCCCCCGAGTGTCAGCCGGTCATTGGCAAACACGGAGGGGATGGTCGTGTTGGGGAGTGGGCCCACCGCCCCCCGGCACACCTGCCGCCCTGTGGGCGTGGGGGGTGGAGCCAGGCTCTCAGCTGTCCCCCCACCCCGCCCCCACAGGTACTTCTATTCCCGGAGGGTGGACATCTCCCTGTCCACCGTGAAGTGTTTCCACAAGCTGGCCTCCGCCTTCGGGGCCACACGGCTGCAGCGTCACTGCTCCAGCCTCTTCGCCGTCCTCCTCCCCCAGGACCCCTCCTTCCAGACGGCCCTGGACCTCTACGCCTACGCGCTGGCCTCCCGGGACCCCGTGCTGGAGGGCCTGTGCGTGCAGTTCCTGGCCTGGAACTTCGAGGCCCTCACGGGGGCCAAGGCCTGGTCCCGTGTCCCCACGGCCCTGCTCCGCGACCTGCTCTCCAGGAGCGAGCTGGCCGTGAGCAGCGAAGTGGCCCTGCTGATGGCCGTGGACGCCTGGAGCCAGGAGACAGGGGCCAGCCGCAGGGACATGGAGGGGCTGCTGGAGAAGGTCCGCTTCCCCATGATGCTGCCCGAGGACCTGTTCCAGCTGCAGTTCAACCTGAGCCTGTACTGGAGCCACCGGGCACTCTTCCAGTCGCGGCTCCTGCAGGCCCTGGAGTTCCACACCGTGCCCCTCCGGCTGCTGGCGCAGCACCGGGGGCCGAACCTCACGGAGGACGCCTACCAGCCCCGCCTCTACATCTCAGCCACCTGGAGCTCGTCCCTGGAGAAGAGATCCCGAGACTCCGACAGCTACCATTATTACGACTCCTACGGCTACCGTTATTATAACCCCTCCCCACGTAACTCCTTCCAGTCCTTCGAGACCCCCGCACACCCCAGCTTCCTCTTCCAGGCCCGCCGCGTCTCCTGGTCTCCCTTCTACCTGTCCACCGTCCAGAGCTGCTGGGACTACGGGTTCTCCTGCTCCTCCGACGAGGTCCCCGTCTTGGGCCTCTCCAACTCGGGCTACTCGGACCCCACCATCGGCTATGAAAACAAAGCCCTGATGATCTGCGAGGAGCGCTTCGTGGCCCACGTCACCGACTTCAGGGACAGGAAGGCCAGGATCCCCAGTGCCCTGGACAGCAACAGCTCCAGGGAGGCCTCCTTCTTCCCCTGCCCTGAAGGGTCCTTCCGCAGCTTCCGGGTGGTCGTCCGCCCCTTCTACCTGACCAACTCCTCCAACCTGGACTAGACGGGAGGCTGCCCCCGGCCCCACAGACAGGGGGATGGTGGGGTGAGGCCCCGCCCGGGGAGCCCAGCCCAGCTTCTTCCTCTCTCACCTCCCTCCCACGACTGGCCTCCAGGGGTCCCCCTGCCACCGCTGAGCTCCCTGAGCATAAAGAAATGGCTGGGCCTGCCAGGAATCCCCGGCTCTCCCGCCGTCCTGCCTGCTGGGAGTGGGGGAGGCTACAGGACAGTAGTGGAGTGGCCCCTGGACTTCCCACGCTGCTTTTCGCTCGCTCTGTCCTCTGTTGTCCCTTTCGACAATCGATCATTAAAACAGCGTCATGGTCCCCAGGCTCTCTCGTTCATGCAGAAGGGGCTATTGAGTCCGTTCCGCACCCAGGTGTTGGGTGTGCTGGGCTCCACAGGCCCCTGTCGAGCGATCACAAAAAGACACGCCCTAGGTACTTACAGGTGGGGCGACTTCGGGGGTGGGGTGAGGGTGGGGGGGCGCAGGCCAGCACCGCGTCACCCTGGACTCTGCGCAGAGGTGCGGAGCAGCAGCGGGTGTCCAGAAATGGGAGGAGGGCGCGCTCCAGGTGGAAGGAACCGCAGGTGTGCGGGCGTTTGCTCCGTAAATCCTTGCTTGTGCAGGCAGATGAGGGACCAGGACCGTCCCGTCAGCATTCTTTGGAAAGGCGAAAACTTGGAAGCAACTTAGATGCCCATCGGCAAGGCACTTGACCACGAACAAGAAACCTGTGACAAGGTAGGTGGGGGGAAGAAGGTTGTGCAAAAACGTAACCGTGACCCGCAGAATTGAGGCAAACAAAGGCAGGGTGACCCACCCATGAGGTCTCGTGGGGACGTCCCATGAGAGTAACACCGCTAGGTTTGGGGTGCTGAAGGCCGCCCCACCGAGGGCAGGGGAGGCATTCCCAACGGTCCCTGCTCCTTCACGACAAACACCCAGCACAGGGTCCCGGGCCGGAGCGTCCGGGTGGCCCAGCTCACGCCACAGGCCTGCCTGCTGCCCTGGGCCGGGGGCTCAGAAAACAAGCCTCCGGAGTGGTCCGGCCGGAAGGGGAGGCGGCACGCAGCCCACCCAGTGGGAGGGCGGCAGGGATGGCAGGGAACCTGCCACACACCACGTGGCAGAAACAAAGGCAGCCACCCCGCGCTACCTCCCACCCCCAGTGCAGCTTCACCCTTCCCCAGAGGGGGCCCCGGGCCCCAGCCTTGGACTCCGTGCCCAGCCCCACGCCCACCATCGTGGCCACGTCCAGGGCAAACCCGTGGAAGTGGGTTTAAGTCGCTTTATTTGAGTTGCACTGCTGCCCACCCCCGACACCCCCGTCTCGGAAAGAAAACAGAAAGGAAATGCTCCTATAAACACCCAGCAGACACAGCGGAGGCAGCGCCGCGGGCTTGGTGCAGATGTGCTGGGGGCCCGGGCACTGCCTCTCCGCCCGGCGTGCGGTCCCAGCCTGCAGCCGGCCCCTCAGCGGCACAGACAGGCCGGCCGAGGAACTGGCACCTTCCACCGGCCAGAGCAGGGCCTCGGCTCCCTGCGGGGACGCTGCAGCCCTGCGGGTGGGGGGCCCTTGGCTCTGTTTTGAGGAGCCTCCCTGAGGCGTCTTGAGCTCTGTCCCTGCACCCAGCCCTTTTGAGTGGCAGCTGCTTCCCCCAAGGGTCAGGGCCGGGCTGGCCCAGCACGGCACAGCCCTCAATCCCTCCTTCTCCACCCAGGGGTGCAAGGAGCCCCATGCCGGGCGTGGCCTGCGCCTCTTGGTGGAAACATTCCCCGTTGGAAGTCAACCCCCTAAACCAGCAGAGCCCGGAGTTCCAGGGGCTGGAAGCACACCTTTGCCCCGCGCCCCGCTCTGGTGCTCCGACCACGGACGGACTGGCCAGGAGCTGGGCCGGCGCCTCTGACAGGGCAGGGCCGGGTGGGGTGTTTGTTGTCGGAGCGGGGTTGGCAGAAACTGGTACGAGGGTTTACTAGGGCGTCTGGAAACGAGGTGTCCCAGGGTCGGCTGACGGGCGCTGCCGTGTCATGAGATGCGAGTCACTGTCACCCTCGAGTTTGTCCCAGCCTTCCTACCCATATGCCACTGTGTGTCTCAAGTTACAGCGGGGCAGTGTGGGGGATGAGAGGGTCCCTCTAAACCGTCAGTAAATGTCGATCCCTTAGCCGAAGGGTCACCGTGGCTGCCCCACCTGGTGCCAGGTTCCAGTCCCTTCACAAGGTGCCAGGTGAGGGCTGATAAGAGGACATCAGGGAGCAGCTGCTCGGCCGAGAGGCCCAGGCGGGCCCTTGCAAAGCCTCCCTCCTGCCACCAAGGCCACCCGCAGAGCAGGCCCCTGTGGCTGGAGCAGGGGCGGAGTGGCGCCCCCAGAGCAGCCTCCTGACGCCCACCAGTGAGAGCCGGTGCTGCAGGAGGGGCCTTCTGGGGAACGGCCGTGGGACTGTGCCCAGCCCCTGTGACCATCCCGAGACGCCTGTCTTCGTCCCCCCAGAGCTCCCTGTCCCTCACTCTCCGCCTGGCCCCTTCTGTCTGCAGGGCCCAGCGTGCCTGGCTGCGTGGGGAGCACCCTTGGGTGGTCCCAGGAAGGGGCCACAGGAGCCCCATTTTCTCAGCCACAGTTACTGGTTTGGAGAGCACGGGGTTGGGGTGAGGAGCACGGGACCCGTGTCAGGGCCCCTGTTGGGGGAGGGGACCCTCAGGGACTCTGGCACTGAAAACACTGTGCCCCTCAGGCCCTGAGAGCCCTTCAAATGCCTCTCCCGGCCGCTCTGACCCCACACCCAGGTTTTGGCCACCGATATGCTGTGGTTCCGTGAAATGCCTGGAATCTGAGGTAACTTTGTTGTGCCCCACCCCTGTGCCCCTGAGAGAGGGTGGCCGACCCTGGGCCTCCGGGAGAGCTGGACCGAAAAGGTTAGATGTGGCAGCAGCTGATCGTCTGAAAGGACGTCACTGGGGTGGGGGCGGGAGTTCCAGGAGCTGGAGCCAAGCCTGCGGTGGTTGCAAAACGCTGGAAAGAATGTGGAGCTGCCTCCGGCTGCCTGTCCCTGTGCCCCACTGTCCGCGCCCCGAGATCCCACCCGCCCGGGTGCCCGCCCAGGTGTGCACAAAGCCAGCGGGCCAGAGGCTCCTGTGGAGGCCCCTGGGGTGAGCTGGGCAGGAGCCAGAGGCCTCGGGTCTCTGCCTGCAGGAGAGGAGATCCTGACCGGCAGCCGCATGAAGGGCGGCGCGGTGCACACAGGGAAGGAGAGCAACTGGGAGAACTCGGCCCTGCTGTTGGCCATGGTGATCCCCGTGGGCTGTGATCTCAAGAGAGAAAAGGAGGGAGGCATCCAGGACAGGGGCTGGGCAAGGGCAAAGCTGCTGACCTGGGGGACGGAGGGGTCTTGGGGAGGCAGGTCGGTCAGTCCTGAGGGGGTGAGGAGCCGCAGGACTGGGGCCCCAGGGTTAGGCAGGAAGAGTGGGGTAGAGTCACTGCGGCCCCACCTGGCTTCTGATGGGAACTTGCTCGGCAGGACAGCCAGGAGCGAGCTGCCCGTCCCTCACCTGAGCTTGCAGCAGCTCAGACCCCCACGCAGCCCTAGAGGCAGCCTCAGATCTGCAGGGGCAGGGGGCCAGGTCCCCAGCCTGTCCTGCCACCTCCGAACCAGGGCTGCACGGATGCCAGGCCTGTCTGCCGGGGAGGAGCAGGAGGAGGGGCTGGTGCGGAAGTCCCAGGGCTGCCGTCACCGGTCACCACAGACCGGGGGCCACACCCACTCAGATGCATGCCCTCACAGGTCCAGGGCCAGCCCTCAGGGCTCAAGGAGACCTGCCGGGCCACCACCAGTTTACATGGCCCACCTGGGCACCACCTTGTCCCCAACTCTGCCCTGGCTCCACAGCTGGGACAGAAGCCAGGGCTGATGTAATAAAAAGCAAATCTGTTCTTGAAATTTTAGCAAAACAACCCCTTAGTGTCACCAGGGAGAGGAGCCCCTGCCACTCCCTGTGACCCCCCTGAAGGGCCCCAACCTGGCAAACCAGAGGGTGGGTCACTTCAGTTTAGGGGTGGAGAACAGCCAGAGTGTCCTTAACTGGGGAACCCTTTTCGTACTTAGAACGCACACAATCTCTTTTTCTGGAACATTCTTTCTCCTCCTCTTCACAAGGTTAATTCCTGTGCGTCCTTCAGGTTTCTCCACTTGGGAGGAGCCCAGATCTTGGGGTTGTTGCTCAAAGGGGCTCAAACAGCTGAGTTTCTAACCAGCTCCCAGCAGGGCCAGGGCTGCTGCCCCCCCCCACTCTATTTTGGGGAAATCAGGGGCTCTAGGAATGGCTCTTTGTCTTTGCTCCCGAGTCAGGTGCCTTGCCCCTGCCTGAGACACACTCCACACATCGCCCCCTGTACTAATGCATGCACAGGGCGTGGCCTGCCGGGCTCGGGTCTCTGCCCCCACTGCACCGAATCCACACACTCCGGGATCAGTGAAAGTCTGCCAGTGTGTTCAAACCAGAGTTCCGCACAGACCTGTGCGGCCTCATCCCCGAGATCCCATTTGGACTTGAAACTGGAGGGAGCGGGAAGCTTTGAGATGATGGACCAGCTTAGGGCAGCTGCGGCTCAGGTGTGTGAGCCTGTGGCTCTCAAAGTGGGGTCCCCGGTGGGCAGCGTCAGCACCCCGAAGGCACTTGCGGGTGATGCAAATTCTCGGGGGCCCCAGGCCCACAGAGTCAGAAGCCTGTGTTCTCAGACCCTTGGGCACTCAAGCTCGAAGCCCCCGGTCTGTCCCAACAACGGCCACCGCGGTGGCGTCAGGATCCCCCCCACCCTCGACAGAGCTCGTGAACCTCCTACGTCCTTCGCCCCTGCCCAGGCGCAGCACTTCCAACGCCGAATGAGAGCTCTTCTGCCTCCCGACTCCCCGTCTGGGGCCTCGTTGCCAGTGCCGCTTCCCAGCTTCCTGATGCGGATCCCTCTGCTGATTGCTTCCTCCCACAGGACTAGCCCACTGAAGACGCCAAGGGCGGTCCAGGGTGGGCTCCCACAGCCCCCTCCCAGGTCTCATCATTTGCTAAAAGGACCGCAGAACTCGGGGGAGCCCTTGACTTAGTATTGGCGTCTGACATCAAAAGGATTCCATGCAGAAACAGCCCCATGGAAGAGATGCCCAGGGGGAGGTGCGAGGAGTGGGGGGTGAGGGGCGCGGGAGGGTGCGGGCAAGCTTCTGGAACCCCATTCAAGTCCGAGGCACGAAGGGTCACTGGCTGCCCCGGAGGTCAGGGGCGGGGCTGAAGGTTCAGCCCACCAAACTCCTAACCACTGTTCTGGCAGCTGGCCG